GCACAGCTGTTGTAGCTCCCTTGCCCCACCCACCATTTGGATAGTCCTTGGTGGTGTCCCAATTGATGCCCTCCTTTGTGAAAGCGGAGACATGCAAGTACTCAGAGTTTGCCTTTGCCCAGGCTTGAATGTGGTCGTTGAGATGTTCAAACCGTGTATCTATTCCACTACCATCGAAGTAGGTTGATGCTATGGCAAGAGCGTTTCCCATAAACAGCTTCCCAGCTCCCAAATGAAAGTTGTGCCATGGGTCAAATCTGTAGAGTTTTTCCAACTCACCTTCTGTGTGCAAATTTTTGGAGAATGGTGGAAGCTCCTTGAAAGGACTCTCCCTGCCGATTGTATCCAGCCATTCGGGCGTCTCGGAGCTCAGGTTTTCAAACGGGTATGGACCCTTGCCAGCTTCGCAAAGGTGACAAATACCCCTGCACCAAACTGGTTCACCGGTGTCCGCGCCAATGACCTTCGGGTAGCATGCAAAGTTGCGCTCCAGGCAGCCGGCTTTGGCCAAAAATGGCCAATCGCCAGAAACTCCAATGAGCATCATGTTGAACCGAGTCCCTTGAGTATCAGTCACACCTTCACGGGAAACAAAGTCTTGTTCATCGGCTGCAAAGGAAAGAAGGTCTCGCACAGCAGAATCATTCTTGGCATACTGGCTCTTCGGCAGAACCCCACACAAGTAGCGCGTTGTAAAAACATGCCCTTGATAGTTCAGCTTCATCTTCAAGTACTTATTTTTGATACCCAAAGACCGCCGCTTCTTCTGGCACTCCTGCAGACCTTTGCCTAGCAGGCTCCGCCATGAGCAAACGAAGAACTGGCTTTTCTTCCTTGTGCGACCCTCGTCCCCATGGAAGGCAATTGCACAAGTCCTAGCCAAAGAAATCTTCCCCTCGGCTTCCAGTTGGAAAGCTGGATGTAGTGGGTCATATTGACGGTACCTTTCACAGCGCTTTGGATCTGGCTGTGCCAAGCCCGTCAAAACGTGCCATAGGTTCCTCTGAAGGATGAACTCTAGCCAGTCCCTCAAACGCAAAGCCTGAAAGGACTTCTTTCCTTCAACTTCTCCATTGACTTTTGACAAGTCGATCGGTAATCGAAGCTTGTACTTGCTGAACTGTCGGTGAGCATCCCTCTCAGCATTCCGGTCACTTGAAGACGCCAGATTGAGGAGGCCTGGTGACCTCAACGAGGCCTTGACCCCGATGTCGCTCACAATGTTCTTGGCAGTGCTCACTGCTTGGTTGCATGGAGCCTCGGCGCCATTGAATCTAATTTCGCTCATTGACGGAGGGAACTTAAGAGGCACAAAAGAAACATTGTCAAGAAAACACTGGCTAAGCATGGCACACCTGAACCTATAGCGCCCGCAAAGCCACGCAGTATTTGACCAGGCGTTCCACCTGGCAAGTAAGCGAAACAAACTTGCAGCACATGCAGCAAAGGGTGCCAGTGTGAAACACTTGATGTTGTTTTCCTCAAGTCGCTCATCGACAGAATCTACAATCCCTAGGGCGACGGTGGCCAAACCACGCTGACGAACTCTAAAGTGTACACGTATACTAGAGAGAGGCATCAGGCCATCAAAACATCAAGCTAACAAGCATGGCTTTGGACAGAACACTCTTCAACTCTGCCTTTCAAGACGTGGCCTGGACCTGACGAATTGTGCATATCAACACCCATTGCTGTAGGTTTTCCCACAGCCTCTAAAGGTGTTTGAAACCCAAGACTCTCCAGCCCCCAAAAAGAAATTCACTTCTTAGTCTTCTTATTCGTTTTGCTTTTGGCTTTGGCTGCGGCAGATGAAGCATCCTTCCGTTTTTTGGAGGGGTCCTCAACACTGCCTGACCCTGGCTCACTCTCAGACTTCTTCTTGAAGAACTTTTTGCTTTGCCTGCAGGGCCGATCTAGAGCATGAGGTAGAACTACAGGTGGAAATATGTCAGCTTCAGACTTCAATCCTCAAGGTTTTGTTTGCTGAGAACCAGGCCGGATCTTTGCTTCGAGGGCAGCTGCCTTGCTGCACCTGAAGGCAACGGGGATGGGAAGATCTGTGGAGATTGGTTTTGGCAAATGAGTTTAGCACACGGCTGTGGAACTGCGCATTTTGGGCTCAGCCCTTTTCCAAAACCTGGGCGTTCACTTTGAAATGGGATTGATTGGAACGCCAAATGCACACATGCATCATGAAACCAATACAATGTTCAGTGAGAAACGCTTCGCCAAAGCCATCCAATCCACCATCAGACCAAATGTCATTGCAGGAGTCGTACTCCGTATCCAGCTTGGAGATATGGTGGTCGAGTTCCTTCAACGACCTTGGCCAACTGTAGGTCTAAAGCCCCACGACGCAAGCAACAGGCATGGTGGACCTAAGACTTGCACCCGGTAGTCTCAGAGCAAGCAAAAGTCTCTGAGATATTTTTCTTGAGTGCTCGAAGCTTCCCACTCTTTTGTAGAATGCTCTCCATGAACTTGTGAAAAGCATCTTTGTGAGCCTCCCCACTGGTTGCTTCATGCAATGTGTTTCTTAAAGAAGACTTTTTCAGATGATCGATGTTGGAATAAGCCTGCCTTGTCCTCAGCATTTGCGGTACCAACAGCTTTCTCGTTGTTCAACCTGGCTTCCATCTTTTCCAGGTTGGCAAATGCGCCATCTGGAATTTCTGGACTGGCAGACCCCTCCTGATCAGGCGTGAGGGGTTGGTGGGGAAGGTTGAAGTGGAAGCTACGGGGTTGCATCAAGAATACACCACATGTATACAGCATCGCCTTTGGTTGCTCACGCTTGCGGTCGATCTGCTCGTGACTTGTCTTTTCTTTGCGACTTCCGTGCTCCCGGATCTGGACCCAGTACTCCTTTTCACCATCATACTTGTTCAACCTGCCAATGTAATTTAGAACACGCTAGTCTAGTCTTAGTGACATTTAAAAAGTCACAAAGGATGGCAAGCGCCCGCACCTTACCATGGTATCTGGATTCATCATGCAGACCCGAATGGCTCCAGCGATTCTTGACCTCAGGCGGTGGGCACGTGACCATTTGGTATAGCATGCAACTCCACTTGAAGGATCTTGAAGGGTATGTTCTTGATCTTAAAGGGCAAACCATATATTATATTATATCACCATTGCTGTGTTCAGCCGAAATACTTGCACCACTTGAGATCATGTTCCATCTCATATTCACTGTACCACGCTTCATCGATGATCAGCTCTGTGGTTCGTTCGCGACGCACCAGTGTCTCTATGGATCGCAGAAAACTTTCCTGAATGAGCACGCTGGCAAATACAAGGGTTTGTTGGGCACTGCCGCGCCCTTTACAACCAAAACTCTTGAACATATGGAGGGAAACTACCATTGAACCCGGAAAGCAGCACAGCACGATAGCACAAGCAAACCCTACAAAACCATGGAGGTGATTGCAGGGCATGTGAAAAGGGTTTGCTTGCCTCAATTTGATGAATACTTTTCTAGGAACTCGGTCAAAGTTGACCTTGGCCAGCACTTGAGCCATCAAGTTCTTGGCATCGGGACCCTCGTTCCACTTAGCAACGACAGCCTCACTAACTCCCAAATCCTTTCTCTTCTTGTGTGGGGCGACCATCCTCCGGATTCGAGCCTTCGCAGCCAGATTCAATTTCTCCTGGCAGGCACGAGCAGCGACACAACCCCCCATTAAATGTTTCATTCAGATCCGTACGCCGCAGAGGCTCTCCTGGCGAGTGAACTGACGGCGAGGCTTCGCGGGAGGCAGTGCGGGTTGGGCTGGTGGAGAGGGGGTTTTCACCTCTTTCTCGGCTGGAGACAAAGAGTCACTCTGGCGATCATGGTGCATGGAACTATCAGGTGCCCCTGCAGCAGAAGTCCGGCATGGGGTTGGAATAGGCCTCTCCTTTCAGGCTCAACGGAAGTGAAATACAAGTCCATCATTTAAACTTATATAAATCGATCTCTATAAACTTCAAAAAGGAAAACCCTTTTGAACTAGACGTCCTCCACACGCTTGCTGGGTTCTTCTGCTGCTGTTTCCAGGTCAACAGACACATCAACATCCGAGTCCAAGTCAATGCACACTGCTCTAGGTTCCCCAAGACCTCCTGGAATTGGAAATGTGCTCGGATACCGTGCGCGGAGTTCCTCATCTGTGGCCTCAGTGTATAGCCATGAGCAACCACCAAACCGCTAGCCACGTGTCTAACTCAGCTAAGTACTGGAATGGTCTCCATGCTGGCAGTGCTAGGCCGAGGTCCAGCCTGAAGATGTTTTACAAACAAAACTGCTAGGCTGAGTGTGTTCATTCACAAGTACCTGGCCTCACAGGACATTTCCATCTCAATGTCCTTTCAATTTCAACAAACAGCATGAGCCAGTCGGACCAAAGGAAGGCTAGGCAGTCCTGAATTTCCCTTAAGAGTCTTTCTTCTTCTTGCTCCAGCTCGGTCTTTACTTCTCGAAAGCCATCGGCTAGGGTGGCACAGCTGGAAAGCAGACTTCCACCAGGAGCATGGGGTGTGTGACCAGCCATGACGGTCACTGGCAGGGCCGAAGGTAGTTCACTTACAAGCTCCGATCCCAAAAAACCCTGCAGGAGATTAGCTACCTTGAACAAGAACTTTGTTTTCTCAAGACTCCTATATATAAAAATGACTTGATGGCATGAAATCTGGTCGGACCTTTTCAGCATCGATCGGCATCGATCTTGCGAGCGTTCGATTTCGAACTGTTCCGGGCACCCCGATAAGCCAAAAAACCCATAAATCGTTTATGGGTTTTTACGGGTAAATTACGGGTTGTGTACGGGTTGCGTACGGGTTGGGAAAAACTGGGTTTTCTACCAGATTATGGGTTATTATGGGTTTTTTATGGGTTGTTTATGGGTTGATTATGGGTTTTCTCGATTCTGCAGTATCAGAATTGTATTTTTCTTTCGGGTCGGAAGAAAAACAGGTGGAGACACTCATGTTCGATCACAGGGAGCCCGGGCAATCCTTCAGATAGCATCGGGAATATGCGGTTCCCATTCCCGTGGCACGCGCAAGCCTTTCAGCTTGCGTAAATACTTGAATACATCTCCCAGCCGTGCGTGTGGCCATTGCTCAGGAGAGTCCTCCGGAAAGGTGAGAAAGGACTGCAGCGCTGGTGGGACCACTGGTGGAGAAGCAGGGCCAACAGGCTCAGAAATCAACCGAGCGTGTAGGTCAACCACCGCACGTGCGAACTTGATAGGGTAGATCCTCAAACATGGCACCACCACTGACACCACTGCGATTGGTATAAGGAAATCAATATATATATATAGCCACTAAAAAGTTGCCCATTTGATCCAAATTAGACTAGGAACTCGGTGGCGCGCAGCGTATTCTTTACACCTTGGTAACGAACCTTGTTGTTCTTGTCCCTGTATCGTCTCACCGTTTCCACGCGATTTGGGTGCTCCTCCTTAAACTTCTTCCATTGAAACTTGCCCTTGTCAAGGGATTTGACATGTCTGCTGGAAGACCAACAGTAATGCCGTTTCGGTGTGCCTCCACCATAGTGCCCCATCCACCACCCCACTCGGTGCACCTAGCTGAAGCCAGGAAGCTGATTGCTGTTACTATTAAAATCTATTTGCTTCAAACATCGAATATGTGAATGCTTCGCATCCCTTCAAAGCATCAAATGTATTCATTCAACCTAGTGGCTTTGTTCAGGTTTCCGCCAGCTACGATGTGGCAGTTTAGCATGTAACGGAAAGCAGGATAGAACTCCATCACCGACAATCCTGGCTGCTCCAAACACCAGACTCCTCCTTTGGACATGGTGAGAAGACAAAGCAAGCAGCTCCTCCAGGGAACCCAAATGAAGTGTTTCTTTTCTATGGGGCTCCGTTTTGGGGGCGAGTGCCTTGCTAAATTTGTTAGGACATGTTCAAAACATGTCTCACATGTGGACCCAATCCTCTCACAGAGCTGGTTTCCTTCCACCACCGATCGAAGCTGTAGGTTCCCCACGCTACAGCACGCAGAACGCCCCGATGTTCCCCTATTCATCGGTCCCCATGAAGAGCATTTGGTGGCAAGCAGGACAACGAAGCCCACGTCCGACCTGCCTTTCAAGATCCAGATGCAGGCCAGCCTGAGACACAGGACAGTCGCGAGATGTTGGGCAACAGGCATGTGAAGAAAAGCTTGTGCACGAGGGAAAAATTGGGAACAACCAAACAATGCAGTATATAGAAGAAGAACAGAAATCCACTGGAGTGAAGAATGTTCATGAAGTCAGACTTGTGGGATTTCTTCTTACCAGCTTCGTAGAGAACATCAAACTTGGCCGACTTCAAATGTGAATAGCGAGCCATCTTGGTAGTGTTGGCAACACCTGCAAATAGCTCTATGAAGTCCATGTCCTGCAAGCAGAGTCCCTAGCATGCGAACAAACACGTGCATAAAAAACACACGACCAATTCAAGCTCCTCTTGGTCCAGCTTGAATTGGTCCGACACACAGTGGAGCAGGAACACTATAAGCGCCAGGGCCTGCAACAAAGGTTTTCAAACCCTCAATTGACTCAATTGTGGACGCTATTATACTAAATTAGCTTTGACCTGGCCTTCGGAGCACCCATTTTCCGAAGACGCCACATCAAAAGATCCAAACACACCATGGATCCCAACCAAAGGGAAAGGGGCCCTTCGCTCGAGCTTGAGATGGCTACCTGACGCTACCCTTCATACATGGCAGTCGTGCTCATGAACGCCATACATGCCTTTGATGCACAGTTGAGAGCTCAAACAAATTAAGACATGCCAGAAACTCCTTTCTTGCTTTGGACCGACTTCTTCAGAAGATCGATCCGTACTCTCCAGCGCTCCCCACGAGTCTTGCCAGCAGGATGACCTCAAAGCACGGATAGGCAACACATGTATTTAATGCTAGCTCATAGATATATATTAAATATACTTTTGCTCGGCAGGTTTATCTATATATGAGCTTCAACACATGGCCGACAAACTCTGAGACTGCGCAAGCAGCTCCTTTTTCCTTTGCGACCAGTTGGGACATCTAAGGTTTTCTTGGCGGGAGGGGTGGCTTTCAATCACCATCTAGCCTCCACTTGAACCACTCTCCAAAATACCCGGAGTACAGGACTGACACCCTGACCCACACGGACTTGGCAATCAACAATGTACTTCACCCTTAATTCTGCACATGCAATTTTGGTCTTAGGTCACGCAGTCACTCCGAAATCCCCTGAAAGCATTTAGCTTTCATTCAGCATCGAAAAACACCCTATTCAACATCTTCAGGGACTTGAGCCAGCTCTTCCAGAGCCTGTGCCGCCTGATCTTTCAATTCTTCAAATTTTTCGGTCACACGGTCACTGTCCGGGGTGATGCTCTCATTCTCCCAGTTGCAAGCCTCAAAGAAGATTGCCTTGGTTCATTCACAATCATACACACAAACACACATGCATGGCATGTATCTCACACTATTGGTTGAGCATGATATGGCCATATTGTTTGAACAGGGTACCGTCAGCTCCGCACAGCGGATGGATACGAGAAGCTTGTATCTGTCTGGTACAGCCACTTCCATGGTGGTGAAGTTGAAATGACCAAAGTCCTTCCTTTGCGTGCCGTTTCTTGCGGGTAAGGTGATCCCACAAGTGTGCTTCGTCCAATAGATGTTGAGTTTGCACCACCATAGTGGTTGCTGAGAATCCCTGACCAGCAACTTAAGCTCATCCAGGGGTGTCTCCAGCGGGAACCATAAAGCATAATCCATCAGCTGCTGTTTTGTGTCTTCCTGTTCAGCTATGTGCGGTGCTGGACCACTGCGTTGCCGTTTTGTTGGCCTGCTTGCCCTGCCCGGTTCATTTCCTGCAGATGCTGCACTGCTCCTAGTTGCCTTCGCTTTCGCCTTGTTTTTGGGGGCAGGCTTGGTTTTGGCTGCTGTGCATTTGGCTTTCGGTCCTGCCTTTGCCTTCCCCTTCGCTTTAGCTTGTTGTTTAGGCTTTGGCTTTGCAGCCGCCTTCACTGCCGCCTTCTCCGCCTTCTTGGTAGCACGTTTCTTTGGGCTTACGCTCAACAGTTCTAGGCGGCGACGAGAAGCACCTTTTGCCTTTGCCCTCTTCCCCTTTCTTCCCTTCTTTCCTCCCCCTCCTTTACCAGCCTTCCTCTCCTTCGGGCGCTTGGCCTGCTTGAGACGCATTTGCTGCTCCCTCCTCAAGACAAAGTCATCCAATATGTGGTGCTCCTGCAAACAAGAATGAACACATGGGTTCGAGCTATAAAAAAATATACACATGCAGCAGCATACGCCCCCCACCCATGCCCATTCAATCCTTCGGAGATTCAGTCTGAGCAGGATCCTGTGGGACATCCTTGCCAACCTCCTTGGCGACCTCCTCCTCAGGTGTTTCACCTCCTCCCTCAGCGCTCACTCCATCGAAGCGCTGCGTCAAAGACCCGGGTGGTACACCTTGATAGCGGCGCCGCCTTTCACTTGCTGAAGTGGGTGGAGATATGGTAGGAGGTGGCAAAGATGGTGGAACAGCAGCTGCCATAATGCTAGTCAACGGTTGGGTCTCAGAATAGTCATGGCCATATGGAAGAGACTCATGAACAGCTATCGTCCGTGGTCCTGCATCCCAAGAGCACTTTGAAAGATGAATGCCTACTCCCTTTTTGCTTTCACATGATAGGTCTCAGCAACGCTCATGGCACGCACACACACAACTAATGGAACAACAAGGCTCCTTCAGTTGGTGCAGCAGGCTCCTCTGGTTCTACCACTGGTTTTAGATCAGCTGCAGCCTGGGCAAGGATCTCGTTCTTCTTTTGCCTGAACCTTATAGTACGGGCGCGGGGTGACCTAGAGACCTCTTAACCTGCATGAATAGAATGCTTAAGGATACCACTGTTCCAAAGCCAATCGCGCTCTTGCCAGCCGGCCTACAAGCCAACAAAAATTAACACGCATGCGCATGTTTGCATATATATTGACTAAGTTTTGTGGAATGTAAAACAATGGCCTTCCACATCGCCCTCAGTTGCGGCAGGCTTTGTTGGAACGCTTGGCTCCGATGGAGGAGGACAATTGGGAGGCTCCTGGGTCGGTGATTTGAAAAGGGATGCCAAGGGATGCCCTAGTTTCTGCACAATACTCACTTGTTGCTCCTGCGGTGGTGGTGCAGGTTCACGGTTCGGGGCATTATCGTCAACAAGATCCGCTTCATCATATGCATCTTCCTCTTCGGGCTCCTACACACCCACGGGAAAGGAAGGTAGATACAGCAAATCAACTGACATATTTGGTTCTTTAATGAGAAAGGAATGAAATAAGAATGAATGGCCTCCACACTGTCGCGGCTGCCCCTTGCAGCACGCTCTTTGCGTCGCGCTTCAACCCTTGAATTCACTTGATCCGCTGTTTCCTGCAATCTCAACTCGAGAGCATAGTTAAGTTTGCATGTTGGCATACGCTGCACTACTGATGGTTGACAACATTCCAGTAAAATTTTGTCCTTCAAGTTCGGTGCAAGGGTCAACACCATGTCTTGAAAAGACGTGTCCTTGGGAGCAGGGAGAAAAAGGTAGGAACCCCTATGTGTTCATGCCCACGCACTCAAACTTTATTAATGCTGCTTTGTCTCAGTGCTCACGTCAGCCTTTCTGATCTTGAGTTTGATAAGGCCCAGAAGTTTTCTCACCTGCCACGAATCTCCCTGGACCTCCCACGAAGCACGGTCATGCTTGTTCATGGTGTAAACCTCTTTGATGGATTCTCTCAAGTGTTCTATCTCAGGCATTTTCTTCTCCTCATTGACAGCCATCCTTTGTAAAAGTGGCATCAGGAGTGGCTTAGCTTCCACTGCCTTTTTTATGTTAATGTCACCGCTGGCCACCAGCGGATGTCCTTCCCGAAGACGTTCTCGAATCTCCGCCACCGAGTCCCACTCGCAGGCTAGGCCAGAGAGGTCCGTTTTCACAGCCATGGCCCAACCCAACCCCACTGACTTGATTCACAAAAGTCTGCGGGGTACATCGCTCAACTCGCTGCAGGACCCTTGGACATTGAGCTCCGCAGCTGACCGCTCTCACCAGGGTTCCGGACGAAAATGAGCAACCATGTTCCATGTGCGGGAGCAGGGGCAGCGCCCATGAGGATGGTGCAAAGACCAAAGATAAAAGCAGTCGTGAGATGTTTTGAGCACAAAACTTCAGACATCCTAGGATGCTATAGAATATGATCAACAAAACAAAAGTATGCCTTGCAATTTTTCCTTCTCACCGCCATGTGTTGAGCGACTCTAAGGCAGCGAATCAATGACCTCACATGCAATGTGCAAAAACCGGGTTTTCCCAGTGGGAACCGGGATATTCTTTGACCAGTGCTTCAAAGACGATCTTTCAGATTGCACCCGCTTTTTTTTTAGGACTTAGAAGGTCCTGGTAGTCAAAAAGGAGCTCTGTCTGTATATTCTGTATGTTTGTTGTTCGACACTTATGCTGCTTTGAGGGTGTCAACACTTGCAAGCTGCTGCTTTCGCACATGCAATACAATCATGTTCATCTTGTTTGCTTTCTAGCTCTGGCTTACACCACGGGTGACACCCCTTTACGTGGAGCAAAAACGCTCCCCCACGGTGCGACCCCAAGCACGCGCGGTCTCCATGGCATCCAAGTCATTGAAGACGACCACGGCCAACGCACCAGCGGCCTCCGCACTGGCCACCGCCTGAGCCCAGTTGTGCACCTGGCAGGCCAGTTGGAGAGGTATACAACATGAGAAGAAGGGGAATATGTATATGATATGCTGTACCCTGTATGTTGCTCCATCCGAGGACATGTACACCAAGCAGTCCAAGTTAAATAGAGTAAGTAGCCTAGAAGTGGGTACAGTAGGTGAAAGATAGAAGCATCAAACGCGTATCATAATTCATCATTAAAAAAACATGCATAATTGCGCCAAATACGTTTAACAAGTACCAATTGAAACCGTCCTTGATTCTCCTTCCGGGTGCCTCCCAGGCCGGGGGTCTGGGAGCCCTCCGGTGAACGAAATCGCACCGCGCGCGCCTTGGTGCTGGAGCGGATCGATCGCCGGGACATCAACACGGCCTTGCCACGCTTCCTGAAGCGAAGGCGGGAGAGAGATCAGAGAGGCGATGCTAGCAAGGAGACAGATAGACTTAGATAGACGTTAGGACCTGAGAAAGGGCTTCCAGTCGTACCTCCTCAGGTTCGGTATGACTGGACCATGATCTTCCTGCAGATGCCTCGCTGCTACGGTCTATAGCGGTCTCGACAAGGAGTTTCACCGCGCCGGATCCCGAAACATTGGTCGGTGGCCTTGTCCCCGCCGGACTCCCACGGAGGAGGTCCACCAAGTGGGGACACCC